ATTTCATGTCATTAGCACCTCTAGTAATATATTTACTGAGAAAAATGTTGACGTGTTCAATATTTATTTTTCCCGCTGTATATAATCAATTTTACATTGCAGATACTAGAATTTGGTATGTTCATAGCTAAACATCATTCCCAACATATACTTTGGGTGCTACATGATACTCTAAACTTTAAACAAGATAAATAATTCAGTTTATGTTATGCATTTATTAACAGCAGTACATTTAATGTCTGAAAAATAACACGAATAACTCATTTAAATACAAAAATAAATGGTTTTATATCACAAGTAAATGCCCCAACACAGCCCCATGGTCCGAGGACAGTGTTGCCTGAAATAACATGCATCATCAGAAATGAAGAGCAAATATGTTATCAACCAAATCAAAATAAACCAAACTATTTTACCTGCTGTTAAACTTGGCGTGCGCTGACAGACTAAGATGCTCAGCTGCCACAAGTTTGTCCTCTCTGTAGGACTTTCAGGGAGACTGTCCACGTCTGGTTTCCTCAAACCACTGTCTGTTTATTGTGTCAACATAAAAATCACCGGTCGATTTTCTCTCTGTCTTTCTGTTTCTTTCTTTCTTTTTCTCTGTCTTTTTTTATGCCGCTCTTTTTGTCTTTCTCCGTCTCGTTCTCTGCTTATTTGCTTGACCTGAGATCAGTTCTTCACTTGGACCTGGAGTAGGAGGGCTAATTTGGCTGCTATTGTTGACGAGAGCRCTTTAAAAATAGCAGACATTTATAAATGAAAATAATTTATTTACATTTTTTCTGGTGCGCATGCTTTCTCCAATAGTTGAAGTTTGGTCACTCGTACAAGTTGCATGTGGTTGTACACTAATGATGACGCTACAGATGCTTTTAGACCAGTGGTTTCCAAAGTTGATAATGTGGGCGATGGCTAGGGTTGGGCATAATCGAATCATGTGCAATTAAACGTCAAAATAATTATTTTTTGGCACTTGATTAATACGATTAATGCCACCCGGCAGAGTCCGCTCGGTGCTCCTCTCTGCTTCAAATATGACCAACATAAAAAAAAGTTCTGTAATTTATTTATCTATCAACACAATTTAAAATTTCTTGTATAGCCTGAAGTCTGTAATTTTGACACAGTTTGGAACAGATTTTTATGAAGAGCAAATCTTTCCCACAAAATTGGTCATGTGACTAGGATAAAAGTGTGTCCAGGGACTCCAGGTGATTAATCGTCAAATTAATCTTTATCGGCTAAATACCACAATTAATGGTGCTTTTTTTTTTGCCAATATTGTCCAACCCTAGTGATGGCACACCAAGTGTGGGTTCTTGAAATAAAATTATTTTAAATAATAATTGTCAAAAGCATATCTAATTTTAACTTTAAAAAGTGTTGTCAGAAATGGAGAAGCTGATAAAGCTGTTAACTGGCATATCAGCAATGTTCGTATGCTTCAACTTGGGCTACATGATATTAGATAATAATTGTTAATACTGGTAATGACGATATCAAGTGCGATATATATATA